TATTCCAAAAATGTATTTTTCCTCGAATCTTTTTAAATTCATCCAACTTTTGTCCACATTTTCTATCATATCTATATGTGAAAAATAAATGCATGCATATAGTAAGAGCTATAGATATTTTTAAATACGTAGTAATCCAAATTTACATGAAATAAACAAGAAATAACTATAAAGTTAGATAAAATACAATAATAATTACCTAATAATCTTTAAATGACTTTTGATGATGAATACAACGTTTGTTGGAAGACAAAACTCGGCAATATACTCCAAATCACGTCCCAAGCTCTTAGAAATAAAATGTTGGAAATGAAGATTAGATGTTGGAAATGGGGGAACTACAAATATTTATAGCTGAGTTTCATCTTAGGCAACATAGAAACAATAATATATGTTGCCTAAGAAAGCTCTAAAGCAACAAGCACAATAGATTATATGYTGCCTAAGTGAATRTGATGGATTTATCGTACARTGCCARTTGTCAACCTTAAAACTTATGTCAACCTTTAARCATTCAACTACCAGGAGTTATTATGTTTTTAAGCTTAGGCAACATAGAAACATGAATATATGTTGCCTAAGTAAATTATGATAAATCTTTTGTACAATGTCAGTTGTCACCTTAGAAGCATCAATTTGTTTACCTTAGGCAACATAGAAACAAGAATATATGTTGCCTAAGTAAATTGTGTTGAATTTATAATTTTTACTTTAGGCAACATAGAAACAAGAATATATGTTGTCTAAGTAAATTATGATAAATCTTTTCGTACACTGCCAGTTGTCATCTTGGAAGCATCAACTTGTTTATAAGTAATTTGGGTTGAATTTATAAAATTTACCTTAGGCAACATAGAAACAAGAATATATGTTGCCTAAGTAAATTGGGTTGAATTTATAATTTTTACCTTAGNGAAACAAGAATATATGTTGCCTAAGTAAATTGGGTTGAATTTATAATTTTTACCTTAGGCAACATAGAAACAACAATATATATGTTGCCTAAGTAAATTATGATAAATCTTTTCGTACATTGCCAGTTGTCACTTCCGAAGCATCAACTTGTTTATAAATAAATTGGGTTGAATTTATAATATTTACCTTAGGCAACATAGAAATAGGAATATATGTTGCTTAAGTAAATTTGTTGGATTTATGTTTTTACCTTAGGCAACATAGTATAAGAATATATGTTGACTAAGTAAACTTTGACGGATTTCAAAAAAAAAAAACAACCAGTGTCCAACATTGAACTAAGGCAACATAGGCTAGTATGTTGCTTAAGATATATGCACGCAACATAGAATTATTTATATGTTGCCTAAAGTCACACTTAGGCAACATAGAAACATATGTTGCATTAGAGGAAACTTAGGCAACATATAATAGCATTTGTTGTCTTAGCGTATCTAAAGTAACATAGGCAATTTACATTTGTTGTCTAAGGCAACATTTGGTGTAGTGATACCTCAATCGATTAAAACTCCAACTGCAAATTGTTTGACCTTACAGCAAATCAAAAGGGAGTTGACGATTTAGATAAGAAAAGTTTAAACTAAAACCTTGTGATAATCTTCACATGGAACAACTAGGGCATCAAGAGGCGGAGTATGTGAAGCCATTAAAGATCTCAAAGCAGGGAGAATATCCGTCATCACAGTTGTTCTTTCGAGTTTTCTGAAGCTATTTGATGAGCAGAGAGCTAGGGTTTATGATCGATGATCAATCATAGGACGGTGAAGAAGAAGATCACGCTACGACTTATGTACATCTGGTGTCTTTCAGTTGGGGGAGAGATTTCTTTGGCGAAGTAGAGAAAATTCCGGCAAAGTAGAGATAATTCTGGCGGAGAGTTCGAACGTGACATTTTGAAATGAATGAAACTAAAATTAAAAAATTACAAAAGGACAAAAATACCCTTCCAGTGTATTTGATGAGTTAAATCGGGAATTAATCTAAACCATTAGATTAAATCTCATTAAAATTGATCAAGGACTTAAACACTCTTTTTACCCTTCTCACCTTAAGTCCACTTCTCACATGATCCCATGCCTATTATGTTAGAAAATAACATAATGGGTAAATGATTTTTAAATCATCCTCCCTGCCCTCCAATTAATTCATCAAGTTAACCTACTTGAAAGGTCAATTAGGTAACAACACATAAGTGCATTTGTTGGACACAAATCAAAGGTTGAGGACCCTTTAATTCATGTTCAACTTCAAGGCAAGGAAGTGAAGGAACAAAAATCTATTTTAATACATAGCATTGGTTTTGTTTTTATGTTGCAACTTTCCAATTACAAGTTAACTTATCGGTTGAACAAATGTAATGAGATCTACAATTATGACATGTTTTTTGGTTATTAAAATTAAAAATTAACCAAGCATCTCTCTCTA